ATTTCCTGTTTTAGCCTTTCTTATATACAATATATGTGTAATGTACTGTTTAATCTATAAATAAACACTTCTTTTCTTAAATTTACTGAATCACCCCCTATTAGCCTTAAAGGAATCACGTTCAGCACTTGGACCTGTGGGGGCGGGGCAGGGGGCGCCTTTCAGGTCAGCATGCAGCATCTTTGCTTGTTCATATATCTCTGCCTCCGAAATGCTGTCACTGGCTAACTGCTTTCATTCATCCAAATCAACAACAGTTTTTCTACCTTTTCAATTGTCTGTAATCATTGCTTCTTTCACTCCCTGAGCAATATTAGCACTCTTGTTGGTCTCTTTGTTTTAAATTTGTGCTAATCACTGATTTCACCAGCAACAAAGCATTCTCTCCTTTATTGCCTGAGAGACACTTTCTGTCATGCTGAGGTATCAGCATGAAAGGGTTGTCAGGTAGAAAACCGAAGTTCGGTTAACCAACCAAGACATTTTTTCTGTGAACTTGGTCGAGAATGGAATTGTTGGAGATGGGAGATGTTTGAAAAATGAGGTGATTGTACAGTACATTCTGTTCATTAAATCTTTCTACACTTTGGTGAATTTCCCATGTCACATCAAAAAACCCATCTTTTAAAAAATTTTAATTCATCTACCAATACACTCATCTAAACTCCCCGCTATTATCCACAATTCTTCAAAAATAAACTATGGCCCCATGATCACAGGTCCAAATTCTTTCAATAATCTGGTACACAGTGCACCTGAACCTGGCAACAGACTTATTTAAAATAACCAGGCATTCTCTATTTCTTCATAATCTTGAACTTCACTTTCTTCCTAACCATGTGTGGTCTTTGCCAGTAAGATTATCTTGATGAGGAGGGACGGAGCCTCAATTAATATCAATTATATCAACTTCTCTAAATAACCGGCCTAATTTTTTTTAATCACAATTTTTAAAACCTTTTATAAGATATCCTTGACATTTACTCCCTCCTTCAGTAAATCTGGACTTTTGCTAGCCTGCATTTTTAAAAGTGCTAACTCTCCTTTCAGATTCATCCTTCTATGAAGGCCGCCTCTTACAACTTTTGTAGACAATCTTTTTAAAAGGTTGAGATCAGTCCTACTTGGTTTGATTCAGTGGATAAAGCATCCGCCTGCAGACTGAAGGGTCCTGGGTTCGATTCTGGTCAAGGGCACATGACCAGGTTGCGGGCTCGATCCCCAGTGTGGGGACTGCAGGAGGCAGCCAATCAATGACTCTCTCATCATTGATGTTTCTATCTCTCTCTCCCTCTTCCTTCCTCTCTGAAATCAATAAAAATATATTTAAAAATTAAATAAAAGGTTGAAATCAGAGAGGTTCCAAAAGAGTTGTGATGGTTTTTAACTGCAGGTGACTCCTTTAATTTTCCTTAGAGGTTTGACTATAAAAAAATAGTGAGGTTTAACTATAAAAATGTCATTGTTAGGGCCTCCTGCTCCAGTCCTCTCCCAACACCATGAAGTTAAGCTTCCTAAAGTGAATGTCTGACTGCTCAGCATCCACCTTTTGCAATGATGACTTCCATGATAACAGGTCACCTTCTTCATGATTTTCAAAACCTTAACTTTCCAAGAGGTGAAACCATCCGCAAAATGGGTTTCGCACTCTACTTTCAGCAAGCTGAAATTGCCAACAGACACGTCCAGAGAACGGACATTGGCAGTCATGATAGATCCCACCTCTGCCCCACATCTGTAATTTGTATCACAAAGGCATTATCCAATATCCTCCATGGACCACAGTCCACAGTTAGTTCTCACATGTCATGTCTGCTTCAATGCCCTATTATACTCACCCAAATGTTCACCATTTCTCCAATTTCCGTTTTGAGGACACCCATAAAGATGAGTATCTTACTCATCGTCAGTGCCGCTCAAGTCCCCTCTTTGTCCACACCCTCTCTAAATGTCTAATGTCAAATTTCTATTGTTAAATAAGATATATCTTGTTAATAATGGATAATACTGACAATTATAAGAAATTTGTTGTAGAAATGTGAATGTTTCCAATTATTTTAGCATAGCTGTTAAAGTGTAAAAGCTTCGCTTCCTGATCAAAATAGGAAGTAGTAAAGAATTAGGCAGGCACTTCGCATCTGAGGAGACAATTCCACTTCAGAGAGCTAACTATTAAAATTTCACACTCCAGGAAAAATCATGGAATATGTTGCTTCATCTTTATAATGATTTTTCAGTTACTATAACATAATGAAATCCCACATTTATTTACTAATGTATTTACTTTTATATAATGCCACCTTAGGACTAACTCTTAAATTGGTTTTTAAATACATCCAAAAGTGTAAACCTCTTCACCCATTTTTTCAAAGCATTTCATTTCTTATGAATTGCAGTTAGATTTTAGAAATAATTTACCTTATTTTCCTTTTTACACAAAATTTCTTCTAACATGGCCAATATTATTTTTGAGTTAGTAGACTAAAGTCTCAAATAAGATAACTAAAAATGAAGAATGAATTCTTTTTGTCGAGAAGAAAACTTTTTAATAAATATAGTATATACATAAAAAGCATTTTAAATTATAGTAGAAAGATGTTTTGGAATATGTGAATGACTTTCCCACAATCTAGTTCAAGCATCTGAAAAGGTTTAGGGAAATAAGTTATTGGGTAATAGCATAAGCGAATAGGCTTTAAAATGTTAAATGAAGAAAGAGAAATGAATAGAGCAGAACATCCATGTTATAAATGCAAAGTAATACCACCTTGGAAGTTGCACATTAAGGGAAGAGCAGTCAGATGTAGTTCCTTTCAACTGGGGGAGAAAAGGAGGGGAGTGGTACTGAGGGAGAAGACAAGAAATCAAAGGAACCAACCAAAAAAGGTGTGGGAAGGAGGTGGGGAAAATGAGAGAGGGTGGAAAAAAACCCACACCAAATCCCCTCAGCCATATGGGACAGAGGAAGCCAGAGGGACCAGCTGGCACGAGATCCTAGGCCCAGCTCTCCAGCCTGCATTTGGATTCCAGATGGTGACTACCTCCTACCTTTTTGGTCAGCAGGGTGAGGGGGCACATGTGGGTACTTGGAGGGCTTCTTGATATGGAAGTTCACGTTGTCCAGCTCCACGTTCAGGCTGATAGAAGCGGCTGAGTCACTGTCCACTGTGGACTGGAAACTGCTGACTGAGGTGCGCTTGCTAGGACTGGCAGAATCTTTTAGTGTTGGGGAGGGGAAAGAAATATAGGGAGAGGAGGGGAGCAAAAAATGGGTTTCATCACAGGGTATTGGAGGAAAGGAGAAAGATGTTTTTTTAATATACAAGCCCAATGTGCAATACCAAAATGGATACAGTATTTTCATGTACTTCTGTGTAGACTAAATACAATTTGATCAAGTTAAATGTGAAATGAATTTTTAAAAGAAGTATATTGGAGGTTCTGCAGAAAGTCTGATATCATAGTGAAGAGGTGAGAAAGTTGTCTGCTGTGATATTAGCTCAGAGTTATTTTAAGCTGCTGCAAACTAGAGACTATGGCAAAATCTACGCACGCCAGTAGCCTAACAAGTAGGTTTCTTTAGAAAATACTGTATCTAGGACAAAGACTGCTATCAAATGTTTACATTTAGTTGGAGCCATCAATCTTACAGTAGTATCGTTTCAAGTAAACAAAACATTCATTTTATCATATATACACAGTAATGAGTCATAAAAACTAAAATATCAGAATGTCAAACTCACTAGTTAAATTATCGTCACCTTCTTCAGCTATCTGTTCTGTGTCGCTGTCATCAAACTTTATGTCCTTAAACCAGGATGGCTCAGAGTGTCCTTCCACTGAGTTCACTGAGTCACTGTCCGGAGAAGGGGTCTCGGAAAATTCCGTGCTCTGCAAGGATCAACACAGGATCTGACCAATGCACCTTTAATAGCAACATGGAGGCTGTCACACTGCAAATGAATCCCAGCCCAATATTTCTACTACACTAAGCACTAAATAAATTTATATAAAAATAAGCAAGTTAAAAGCAACTAAGTTATAAACCAACATCATGCTGACAATGCCACTCTTACATTTTTTAATTTATGCGTTCATTGGTTGATTCTCCTATGTGCCCTGACCGGGAATTGAACCCGCAACATTGGCATATAAAGACGATGCTCTAACCAACTGACCTACCCAGCCAGGGTGAAAATATCTTTTTTAAAATTTCTATTCTTAAAGAATTCTCACTTTCCTAAGTACAAAAAAAAAATTCATCCTTTTATCATTGCTATACAATTTAATACTGCTAATGCATCAATACCTACTGCAATGGTTATATTACATTTTTCAATCACTTTGTTATATATATTCCCTCTTAGCCTAAAAACACAGGCAGAGTAAAACTGAAAACCACTGAAGATAAATGACAAGCAATGATAACATCATAAGGCCAAGCTTAAGAAAAGCCACAGCAACTGAATACTATTTGATCCCAATAGTTTATTTGTTATCACCACTACCTATCAAGGAAAAATAACATTTTCACTTTCCTCAAGCAGCAAGGAAAAAACAGGTTAGAGAAATGTTCCTGCTGATGAAGGAAGAGCTCACCAGAAGCAGGCACTATTCCCACTGGCGCTAACACGGAAACTACCTGCAGTGGTCTGTACAGCGCATACTCGTCCCTGAAGATCTGATCGTGGTGACTGACACAGTCCAGCCAGCGTCCGTCCACCATGGCTTGACCAATCGCTATAGCTTGTGCCCTGCATCAGCACCAACAACAATGAAAACTTTTAAAAGTCAGAATAACTTTACAGGTACAAACTGAGACGTAAACTGAATTATTTTCCATCCCCATCAGAGTTGCAATTTAAATGGACCTTGGATAGGTAAGGGATAAAACAAGGGAGACTACAGCTAAATTAAAAGATTTTTCCAGGTACCACAGTATAGGAGAACCTACCAGCAAGGCAGCCCTAACAAAACTTCATTTAATTCCAGCATTTTTTTAAGTACTCAATGCATGCATACTCCTGCACTTATAAGAAGAGTAAAAAAATGTTGAGAAAAGTGACTCCTGTCCTCAAGGAGTTTATAGTCTTGATGAGAAGACAATACCAAATATTATAATATAAATACATTATGTATATGTGCTTTGTTCCTACACAGACACTTGTTAACACATTGCATTTATATGGCATTTCACACTTATAAAGCACTTTAGCCATATTATTTCATTTCAACTTCATGGCTTCTTCACAGAACTGCACATTTTTTTCATATTAGAACTGAGAGGTCCAGTCTCAACAAGATTGAATAACTTGACTAAAAGCAAACAGCTAAAAAGAGAGATAAACAAAACTGGAACCCAGAGCTTTACTGGTTAAAGCTATTTCTCTCTCTGCCTACATTCTTGTTTCTTCCCATGAGAAGAAAAGTGGCAAATCCAAGTGAGGAAAAAGCCAGGGAACATGTTATCCTGAAAGGCAAGAGGACCAGTCTGTCTCTTTTTGACGAATGATTTGTGAGATTTTAACAAATCTCTCTAGGGTACTCCAGGTGTAGCTATGGGCCCAATTCTCAGGACAGGCTGCAATGTCCAGATCAGGGAATATTAGCAAGAGAAGCCACTGTGGTCTTGGTTACATTCCCATCCTGCTTAGCTAAAGAGCTCTGTGTTTGGGGGATTAATGCACACTTCTGCTTTTAATTAATTAGGTGACTTGTGACACCAATTGGGTCCTTGCATCTGTCCATTACCAGTGAAAACCCAGAAGGGAGGAGGGTTGACCAATGGCATACCACATACCAAATGCAGAAAACAAACCCTACTCAAAAAGAGCATTGCTCCCCTTATATCTACAACCACGTGTCCTCATTAAAGAAAATCTATATATATAAAAGCCAAGTGACCGGAACAACGGAATGATCGAATGACCAGTCACTATGATGTGCACTGTGGCAGCCAACCAGCCCGATTGGGGCACCCATCAGCCCCACCCAACCTCCCACAGCCCCTCCCCCCCAGCCGCCCCCTTCCACCCCAATCCGGGGATGGGGCTGGCTGGCCAACTGCCCACGGCCCCTCCCCCACACCCTACCCCCGCAAGCCTGGCCTGATCAGCCTCCATCTGGGTGGGCTGGCCGGACCCTACCTGTACATGAGTTTGTGCACAGGGCCTCTAGTTAATACATAGTATCAAAAAGGCTTTCTTTCTTTCTTTCTTTCTTTTTAAGGGGAGAATGATGATTTTTATTTTTTTTAATATATTTTATTGAATTTTTTACAGAGAGGAAGGGAGAGGGATAGAGAGTTAGAAACATCAATGAGAGAAACATTGATCAGCTGCCTCCTGCACACTCCCTACTGGGGATGTGCCTGCAACCAAGGTACATACATGCCCTTGACCAGACTCGAACCTGGGACCCTTGAGTCCGCAGGCTGAAGCTCTATCCGCTGAGCCACACTGGTTAGGGCAAGGCTTTCTTTCTTAAGATAGCATTACCTTGTCGTGATGTGTCCATTTCGGATTAGCCAGTTGACTAGTTCCTTCCCCACAATGCAGTTCGGATGTGTTCGCAGCCAGTACCGGTGATCCTGAAACTCCATTCCGCTGCTGTGATGGCATATCTTTTTCCACAGGTCCTTCAACTGAACACTGTCCTGAAGTCACATTATAAGCAAGTAATTACTTCTGAGTAGGATGTTGTATACCTTTTCAAATCCTTTCTTGTGATTTTTAGGTTAAGAAGAAAAAACTCAATTCAGGTGTCTTTGTATAGCTTATTTACACGATTTAATAGAAATGTCACCTGCATGAGGCAAGCTTAAACTCAGCTCATCTAATTCCAAATAAAACTTTTTGTCCTGAAAACCTACTATCCCCCATCCCACCCCACCCAAAAAAACAACTATCCCAAGTGAATGTTTTCAGTCAATGGCACATATGATCAGTCTCCTAGTCATTTAGTACAAAATTTCATACTCCTCTGAGGAGAGGGGCAAAGGAGGGAACTGAACAGTCAGTAACACTAACCTAGAGTGAATGTTTCTAGCAGCCTTCACCCGATTCCCACCTTTCTCACCTACACCCAACTTCCAGGTGACTTTTCCTAAAGAAAGGCCTTCAATGGATGACTCCTGTCTCAGAAAACCTTCCAATGTTGCTCAGTGCCTGCAGGTTCAAATCTAAACTTGTAAAGACTGAATTCTCCACCTTCCACCAGTGAAGTTATTAGCCCCAAATAACTTTCCATTCTCATTGTCCACAGACTCCCACTTAATCCCTCTCCCAACTAATAAATACTACTTCTACTTCAATCCATGAAAAACGCCATGCTTATTCTCACTTCTATACCTTTCCTCACACTTTTAAATCAGGTTTGCTTTCCCCAGTCCATTCCATCCTTCCAGGTCCAGTCCATGCCTTTCAGTTTAAGTTCTTTCCTGACTCCCTCACTACTAATGAGCTTTCTTTTTTTATATAATTAAAGTATTACTTCTTTTACTATTAAGGACCTACCCACTGATCTCCTATCTACCTTTTGAATTGCAAGCTTGAGGACAGAAGCCATATCTTCCATTTCTTTGAGTCATTCTTACGATTGAACACAGTATTTTACACACAGATAAATTCAATAAACAACTGATTATTATCTCATATAAACATACAGTATTAAATGTCTGAAGGCATTCCATGTGCGTGAGAAACATGTTTTAAAGTTTAAATAGCAATCTGGGACCTAACTAAAAGTTAAGCTCTCTCATTATGTAGGCACCTGAATTCTGATCTTGCCAGATGAAAGGGGTCAAGAAAATATTAATGCAATATATGAGCACGGAATGCTTGACCAATTTCTCAGTTGATACTAATAAAAACTTTAGCTAATTATTTCCCTATGTAATTTATATGCTAATTAGCTATTTCATCTGTATGTTTCTTGAAAAAAAAAGAAGAAGAAGAAAAATCAGAGAGGTAAACATTCTTTATGATCAAAACTAGCTATGGGCCAAAGATACTGCACAAGTACCAGAAGAATTTTGCGTTCATCCTCATTGGTTTCTGTCCTCACATATGTTCGGTTAGCCTGGGGACTGACAGATGTCTCATATGAAGGCACCATGGGAGAACCAGATCGATCCAGTGACAGGTTAGTAATGCTGGCTGATCTGGGAATAAAAACACAAAGTGAAAACACAGTCATAAATTTGTCATCAATAAATTCATTTTTAGACAAATGCTTATTTGCCAATGTTATGGGCACTGATAAAAGTAGTTCTGAGGGCTGTGTATGATGTTCTCACTGGGGAAAGCTGGGAGAAGAGCACCCAGAAACTCTCTGCACTGTATTTCCGACTTCTACGCTGGTCTGAAATTATTACAAGACAAATTTAAAAGAGAGCCGCTATGGAAAGACTACAGGAAAACCATTATAGATGTAGTTCATACACCAATAACATTTGACAGGAAATAGACATAAACTCTTCTTGTTAAAATACTCAAAATTAGTATTTTTATTTAACTGAGAAATATAAAGAATCATAGTCTAAATGCAGAAGTCATCTTGCAGATCAGGAACAGGAAAACATGGCCCAAAGGCCAAATAGTTTTTGCATAAAAACTATTTTTAAATGAAATAAGAATATTTTTAGATAACCATCTCTAAGGTTCTGATGACATGGAACACTAACTTTGAACCACAACTAAGCAAAATGTTATCCCCCAGAAAGAATTCCTTTTTTCTCATTAGTAGTCCTATATTAAAAATATTGTCCTCAATTATTACATTTTGAATTTAATCAATAAAAAAATTAGTGAAAATGTGTTTCATCTCTTTTTGTATGAGTACTTACATAATATCCTTAATTTTGCTTCTTGGCAAAGTTACCAAATAAATGACTTGTAAGTGGAGTATCAATAGCACTGAGCAAGCTTTTATAAAAAAATTTTAGCTAGAAATTTAGTTAGCTTTTACCTAGAAAAAAATGAAACCCAATTTTAGCTTCCATATAAAGAATAAAAAGCAGAAGCTTCTACAGTGTAGTAGACACTATATACTCATTCTGTAGTGTCTACTGAATATGTATCTTCCCTCATTTAATCCTCACAGCACTCCATGGAGTAAATACTACTAGATTCATTCTACAGATTTAAAAAATGAAGAATCGGAGAGTAAGTAATTTATCTACGGTAACTCAGCTAATAAATAACAGGCTGCCGTTCAAAACTAGGTCTCACTCGAACCAACATGAAGATAAAAATACTTTTAAAATAATATAAGCAAAATTTTTTTAAACTTTTTTTTTTTAAATCCTCACCTGAGGATATTTTTCCACTGATTTTTAGAGAGAGTGGAATCAAGGGGGGAGAGACAGAGAAAACATTAATGTGAGAGAGACACACTGAATCGTTGCCTCTCATATGGACCAGGACTTGGGGATTGAGCCTGCAACTGAGGTATGTGCCCTTGACCAAAATCGAACCGGGGACCCTTCAGTCCTTGGGCTTAGGCTTCATCCACTGAGCCAAACTGGCTAGGGCTATAAGCAATATTTTAAAAATAATCAGTTATTCATTTCTAATCTTTATTTTAGTGAAAAGTAGCCAGTCTTATTCAACTAATTAAAATCTCTTTTCCAATGTGTGCATTACCCATGCATTCTGCTTCTCTAACATTCTAACCATCCCTACACATATTCTGATATAGTGACAACAAGAATAACTTTGAAAATCAGTCAATCCTATGAAAAGAAGGAAAACCAGACACAGAATACAGTATTTTCACTTGGCAGCTTACCTATTTCGAGCAGGAGATTTCCCAGCATCCTCTTGCACAGATACAAGTCTTGTTGAAAGAGAAGTATTTGAGGACTCTGGATGAATCAAACTATAAATAAAAAAGGAAAAACTTGAGATGATTTGGGACAGTAATAAACTAATCCAATTTCAATGAAATGCTTTAACACTGAAAAACAGATTGTTTTCCACTATAATAATGAGATTATGGGCCATTTTTTGTTTCCTTCCTTTAATTAAAGTGGGAAGAGTATGGTTTTTATCATAAGTATATCAAATGCCAAAAGACTGATAATAGAAAGTATTAAGTATATGGAATGCCATTAAAATCATAAATTGGTTGGATAGCTACTTAGAAAACTCCTTCTCACATGAATAATACAATACTGAAGTGACTTAGGGGGGAAATCCTGAGCTCAAGTATTTTCTTCTCAGTCGCCATGACCCACTGGAATAGCACTACTGAGCCAGACACACCTAGGTCCAAGTGCAGGTTCCACCTCTTACTAGCTGTGTGACCTTGGATACACTGCGTCTGAACCTCAACATCTACATCTGTCAAGAGGAGAAAGTAGTGTCTACTGCAGGGATATGATGACTAAAAGAGAGTGAACATTAACAATTAGCACAAAACCTAAAATTATCCCACCTTTAACATCTATCCTACATCTCTCAGGATGCTTTCAAACCTGGTTTATTAAATTGCATTGCTAATTCTGGGCTCACGCAACAGGGCCAGGTACAACTAAAAGACATTATAACTAAAGTAATCAAGAACTAAAGAATTCCTATGTTTTGTTTTATTAAATGTGAATCAATCTTTAAAATGTATAAAGTACCTGAAACATATAAAGAATCATGATGGCCCAGCTGGCGTGACTCAGTGGCTGAGCATCAACCTATGAACCAGGAGGTCACAGTTTGATTCCCGGTCAGGGCACATGCCTGGGTTGCAGGCTCGATCCCCAGTGTGGGGCGTGCAGGAGGCAGCAAATCAATGATTCTCTCTCATCACTGATGTTTCTATTTCTCTCTCCCTCTCCCTTCCTCTCTGAAATCAACAAATATTACTAGTAAATATATATTTTTTAGAAAAAAATCATGATGCCACCAACACCAATGCACCATTGAGCAATTTAAGAGAACGTTATCACTGACTTTCAAGTGCTTGTTTTTTCCTACCCAATGCCGTCCCCCTCCCTGCCTTCAATGAAACTAACATTGTAAATTTTCTATTTATCAGTCTCTTCCTTTTCTTTAAATTAACCATTGTTGGTATCCCTAGACAGCGTGCCTATTCTGTATATTTTTAACATTATGTAAAAAGAATAATTACTGGATATAAATGTGACTTTCTTTTCTACTCTACATTATGTCCCTGAGATTCATATATGTGAAATGTAGCTATAGTTCATTCATTTTGACCACTGTTTAAATTCATTGGTTACATACTAATTCCTCACTCCCTTAAGGGGTAATAAATATAATAACCACTAATCATAAAGATATTAGTTAAAACTCTAAGCTCTTTAACATGGCCACATTGGTATTATGCACACAAAAAACAATTTAGCTGAAAAAAAAAATCAGAAACTGGTGAATCTAGCATTCTAATTCAAACAATTCCAGATAACTTCCAAGAAAAAGTTGGTAACTTCCTCCACTACCAAGCAGTGTAGCATATTTAGACAGATGGAAAAACATGAAATGTTCCCAAGGAAGAGAAATAATCTAATTTCATTTGAAATATTACGACTATAAATCTTATGAATACTCTCATAAGAAGACTACATTAGAAATTACTGACCTAAACTTCTATTGTCTATTCAACAAATATTATCTAGATCATACTTCGGACTCATACTGTTCTTGGTGTTAGGGACAAAACAGTGAATGAGTAAGATATAAAATCTCTCCTCTTGCCGAAACCGGTTTGGCTTAACGGATGGAGTGTCGGCCTGCGGACTGAAGGGTCCCAGGTTTGATTCCGGTCAAGGGCATGTACCTTGGTTGCGATCACATCCCCAGTGGGGGATGTGCGGGAGGCAGCTGATCGGTGTTTCTCTCCCATCGATGTTTCTAACTCTATCTCTCTCCCTTCCTCTCTGTAAAAAATCAATAAAATATATTTTTAAAAAAATCTCTCCTCTTGACATTTTAACTAGTCATTATAATCACTGCCCATAAACATCCTCTGTGATCCTTCTGGAGACAAGTCAAACAAAAAGGATAAAAATGGGAATATGCAAGAAACGACTCAAAGTGCTTTTAGTTAACAATTCAAAGAAGGTAAATGTTAAACTAAAAGCACTCACAGGGCACAAGACTATCAGTATTTCTCAAATATAAAATTATATTTAAGTAACAGTACCTTTGCCAGGCAAAGTCATCCTCTAAAAATATGTTGCGACTGGCTTTTCTACTCCCAACAGGTGTTCGGGGCTCACCAGGATCAAGTACAGACAATGAGGAGGCAGAATCTGAAAGAGCACTCAAGTCTTCCCCAATGGAATTACTGTCCGTGGAGTGCGCATAACTTAAGGCTATTTTTCTACAGTAAGTGCAAGCTCGGAGGTCCCCTAGAAAGGAAAAAGAAAAAATTAAGTAAAAGATAACAACAATGTATTACTTAACAGATGTATTAAATCTTTGGGTCAATAGTTAATATAATAAAAGGAAAATGTCTTCAAGTAAGGACCAACAAATATTTTTAACCAAGTAAAATAATTCTGTTAGCTCAGTTATATACTTTAAAAACCATCATATGATAAATTCAAGAATACAAATTACCTCAAGTATTTATAACAAGTTAAAAAAATATCACTCAATAACAGTAGATAGAAAACTCTGATTAAAAGTATTTTTCTAGGTTCAAAAAGTAAAATGAGGGACAGAAGGTTCAAGAAAAAAAATTTAAATAAAGTAAATAAACCAACACAAATGGAAACAACGTATTTTCCACAAGCAAAAAGTAAGGAAGAAAAATATGATACCTGGGTCTCTATTGTGAAGCCCCAAAGAGTAGCCTCCACAAGGGGGCATTGTTTTAAAATAAATAATAGGAAATATGGGGAAGGGGGTTTATTAAGAAAATTCTTATAGTGAAAGTTAGAATGGAAATAAAATATTCTTGGGAGTACAAACAACAGGGTTATTTAATACTTTTAAATGTTGTAATTTTATTTAGGGTATAGTTCTGCCCAAACGTAAGTTTTCATTTCTACTGTTTTTCTGTAATAATTATTTGTGTTATTCTGTATTTTAGTACACTAAAAAAGGAGGTAAGATAATTAAACTTTACAAGTAACATGTTATTTAACAATTCAACCTTAAATTTTTTAGCATTAACATTAGAAAAGTGCTACGATAGAACAGAAAGATTTCTTAGTCAACTTTTACTATAATTATTGCCAAGTATAATTTATTTGTTTTATTTTTTTCATTTTAAGACTACTAATATAGTACTCAGTTTTATTAAATTATGCATGTATTTTAAGCAAAATTAACATTTTGCTTAGTTTGTAATATTTTGTTATGACCGTCCTAGAAAACTAACACACAAACCATATTAAGACGACAGGATTTTATCCTGAGGGTAATAGGATTTCTGAAAGGGTTTTAGGCAGGGAATACCCTGACATAATCAAATTAGCTTTTAACTTAATTTAAGAATACCAGCTAGAGTATGGAAAGTGAGATACAGGTAGAAAAAAACTAATGTTAAAAAAATCTTTTTAAAGGCTATAGCCATAATCTGGATGAAAGATAATTCAGGTCTAAAACTCTGTAGCAGTTTAGGTGAAAAAAGAAGTAAATAAAGCCAAAAGGAAAATCTACATGACAATAAAAATAACATGAGATGCTTAGAGTGTTTTCATTTGGGTATCGTCTGCCCACTTTCCACTTTCAAAAATCACTGTATAAATCCACACATTATTGTTGTTTTTTCTGCTTCAACAAATAATTAAAATTCCTACATTGCTAAAACTTATGAAAGAATGAGAGATGCAATTTACTAAAGCACAGTCATATACTCAAAAAAAAAATCTGTATTTTATAAAATGAAAACTCTCATGGTAATATAAACTCATAAGTATCCTACTCTAACCACCTTGTGTAATAAATGTTAATGCCCCTAGGGTTTTCTGATAGCATCTATGATTCCCTGTCTGTTACTCTACTTATTTATAAACATTCCCATCTCCTTTGTTATTCAACTATGAAGCCTTTAAAAGCAAAGCTGTGTCTCTCTGACCTCTGTGTACTCCATGGCTCACACGTTAAGCCCAGAATAAAAATTAGCTTAAAATCAGTCTGTATTATAACTATTTTATACTTATGAATGTTTAAAAATTCTAAGACTGTCAATAAAATGCATTTACCTGTATAGCCCATAAATTTTCCCGGGATTTCTTGATTACAGCAACGACTGCAGAATATCTGCCCACACAGTCGGCAATGGTGTCTGCGCCTGAAGGTTGTAAACTTCTCACTGCAGTCATAGCACTCCTTACATTGGCTATCTGGCATCCAGTATTGCTTCAGGTCACTATCCTGTAACAAAATATGTGAAGGCTTCTTGAAAATACTGATGAAGATTCAATAGCAAATGCAATGCTAACCAGAGTTTTATACAACTTCTTTTGCAGAAATTGAAAAGCTACTCCTAGAATTCATATGGAAATGGAAAGAGCCAAACTGACCATGACAATCTTGAACAAAACTGAAGGACTTACATGACCAGCCATCAAGACTTTTTCTAAAGCTACAATAATTTTAGAGTATTAGCTCAAGAATAGAAAAAAAATGAAGCTATGGAGCAGAAAAGAGAGCCTAGCACATCCTCACACACATACCTATGGACTTGACAAGATTTATAATGCATTCAGTGAAGGATGGTCTTTTCAAACATGATGCTGGGTCCCACTGGACAGCAATGAGGGGGAAAAAGGAGCTTGACCCCTAAACTTCACACAAATAATAAAACTTTTTTTGTGTTCTGAACAGAACACAAAAGAACATCTAACTATAAAGAGGGGAAAGTGATCAATTAAAATTAAGTACTAACTGAACTTGATTTCAAGGACATTATGCCATTTTCAGTGAGTATGGCATGAACCCATATAAAGGCTTAATAAGTATCTTCTAAAGCCCTTGGACTGTACCTGGCTTTTCCCCTCCATGATTTCCTTGAGGCGTTTTAATACTGTGCTGAGGCTTCGAAGCTGAACGGCTGTACGAGGGTCATGACCTCCAAAGGCAGGTTCTGCTTTCCTTCTTGTTTCTGAGTCAGATTAACCAAAAAAATAAAAAGAACCTTGTAAATAGTCTTCAGTATCTATGTAAAACAAGGTAGATATGTGATGCGCAGTGCCTCACATTATCTATAATAATAAAAGTGTAATATGCTAATTAGACCAGACGTTCTTCCAGACGACCTTCTGGAGGAAGCCAGGGCTTCAAAGGAAGCCAAGTCCCAGGTGCCAGAGGGAAGCCATTGCCAGCAGCTGGGGGAAGGAAGGCCTACTCTTGCACAAATTTCATGCATAGGGCCTCTAGTTAGTATATACTTATGTTCTCACAGCCAGTGATATGGACTGAGTTAAAACTAGTCTTTATAAAGAAAGGTAAGAGGCATTCAAAGTGTTTCTTTCAACGGTGTCTTTATATTACCATATAAAACACTACTTCACAAGCAAGTAAGGCTACCTGAGATAAGCACTGTCTGAGACCACTGGTGGTTTTGAGGCCTGGGATGGGAGACTTGCTTACATGGCCCAAAATTCATGAGTGATTTCTTGGGCCCTTTGATCCCAAGCCAGGGGTGGGCAAACTTTTTGACTCGAGGGCCACAATGGGTTCTTAAACTGGACCGGAGGGCCGGATCAAAAGCACGGATGGAGTGTTTGTGTGAACTAATATAAATTCAAAGTAAACATCATTACATAAAAGGGTACGGTCTTTTCTTTTTTTTTTTAGTTTTATTCATTTCAAACGGGCCGGATCCGGCCCACGGGCCATAGTTTGCCCACGGCTGTCCCAACCCATAGTAACACCAGCTAGAAATTTAGCAGCATAAAAAACAATCCCAGTGAGTTAACCTAGTTTAGTCTCTATAGTTAAACAGCAACAGCCCAGTGGTTGAGTGTTGACCTATGAACCTGGAGGTCAGGGTTCGATTCCTGGTCAGGGCTCGATCCCCAGTGGGGGTGTGTGCAAGAGGCAGTCGATCAATGATTCTCTCTCATCATTGATGTTTCTATCTCTCTTTCCCGCTCCCTTCCTCTCTGAAATCAATAAAGATATTTTTAAAATTATTTAAAAACAACAACACAGCAACAGGATTGAGCAGTTCAGTTCAGTCTGCAGACCACGTATCCAAAGTCTCACAGATGCTCAGAACGGAATTGAACAGCCCAATCCCAAAGAGGCGGACAGACTTGAGAACACCCAGGATAGTCATTTACCCATAGACTTCCCCTCACCAGTGTCCAAGCAGATGAAAACTGCCGAAGAATTGCTAGAATGCTAATGCCACCCTCTCTGCTACCTCCCTGCCCCTACAGCTCCACACTGGAGGGCACCACTTACACTTAAAATAGCACTACTAGAGCCAGGACTATCAATAACCAAAGTCCAAATTCCAGTTTTGTGGCCAAGATGGGTGTGCCTGCCAAAGCTGTCATATTATTCCCTTTTATTTTGGAGCAAGATCACCACTGACGTTTCCACCTAGTCCTGGCTCTGGCAGCTATAAAAACCTAAGGATGAAATGGAGGTGGCTTGACAAAAGGAATGAACATGCCTATTAATTTAAACTTATTAACCTAATAATCTTGACAAAGTAAGATGGAAAATACCCATGCTACATCTTCCTTTAACTTGCTTATTTGCTTGATTTGTTTTAGGTGTGCTTTGAGTTAGTAGGGAAAAAAGGATTACAATAAATGAAAGGTCTATATATAAATCCAAATTGACGAAGAATTTTCCTACATAATTTAAATACAGAAATACTTAGCTAGATTTATTAGTTGAAAAACAGATGAAGCTGTTAGAATCGTAACCGTTATGCTCTCATGCACAGGCAACAAACAATAACTGTGAAGCCCCTTGCATTTAGCCAGTTAGGAGTGAGAGAGGACTAAAAGCATCAGCCACTAGGAAAGGAACAGCAGGTGTGTTCCTGAAACCAAGAGAATCAGAGCTCCCGGATGAAGATGAAAGGGCCCTGAGGGAAACACTGGTCTAGCACTCTGCCATTAGGTAAACAACCTTAGCTGCACCTCTTGTAAAGCCACTATTAGAAAATTAAGCCGAAACCGGTTTGGCTCAGTGGATAGAGCGTCGGCTTGTGGACTGAAAGGTCCCAGGTTCGATTCCGGTCAAGGGCATGTACCTGGGTTGCGGGCACATCCCCAGTAGAAGATGTGCAGGAGACAGCTGATCGATGTCTCTCTCTCATCAATGTTTCTAGCTCTCTCTCTCCCTTCCTCTCTGTAAAAAATCAATAAAATATATTAAAAAACAAAAAAAAAAGAAGAAAATTAAATGGTTTTCCCTTGGTCATAGAGCTAGTATATTGTGGAACGATAGCCTTTTAACAGGAAAAGGAATTTGGTTGGTCAGACAGTCCCGGGTTTCTGAGCTTCTAGCACAGCGGTCGCCAACAGGTGGTCCGCGGACCAGAAAGGTTGGAGACGGCTGCTCTAGCAGGTAAGGTAGAATAAAAGAATCAAGTGCACTTGGTACAAAACAATAAGAAAAGGTGGGGACTGCAGCAAACCAGACATTACAGGCTCCTCCTGCTGATAATTAAATTCAAGTTTATCAAAACACCAAAGCAAGATTTGGTAGGTGGTCAGTTTGTAACCCCTCAACGATGAAATTCTAGTCCGACTCCTCAGTTTTACAAAAGAAGATGTCCTGTGCTTAATTCAGCATCGGCTTTAGTCAAAAGTGCTACCTCAACAAGAACAGGCGTGCTGCGCGGTCAGCTTCAAGAGCTAAGGAGAGTTTACTGAGGTCAGAGGGTAAAGTGGGGATAATCTCTTCCCTTCCATTCCCTGAGGTAAAAGGAGAGCTCCATTCTCCCTCTCCCCTTCCACCTTCTGATTCTTCCTCCCAGATGCTGCCGTAACCCCGGCTGAGGCTCTCTGGCCTGGGAAATATGCGGGGTGATGCAGCCAGCTCTGTTCCGGTCCTAGGAGAGCAACTCTTCTGCTTGGTTTCTCCTCCTTCCGTCCCACCTGAAGGTTCTAAACCAAGTCTCAATTAGCAATAAAACATCCTCCTGACAGCCACCATTACCTGCACCAGCCTATCTTTCACTCGAGGATCTCATGGAGGCTGGCAGACAAGACGAGGATCTGACGCTCAAAGACACTTGATTTCCAATGCTGCGCCCCTTACCCTCTATTATGCTACCTCTCACTGCCATTCTTCTGTCACCTTGAGCTGGGCAACCCACTTCACTGAGTTTAATAATCCAACAAAAATAAAGCATAAAACAACTCGCTAGATCGATAGCCTCTCAACTCAGGCACTGATTCCCAGCCTATACTCATCAGAAAAGCATGAAAATGCATGAGATGACTATGGAGTAGACCGAGATGGACAACGTACAGGCAGGAGGAGCTCAGCTTGCCCAGCCACACTGACAGTTTGCACCCCAACAAGGACAGAAGGCCAAGAGCCCGCGGCAGCCCATTGATGGAGTTGGTAGAGGTCGGCAGCCAGAGGCATGCACATCACATTCCGCTAGCCAGCCCATGAACAGATGCAGGGTTCATTCACAAAGCGGAAACTAACCTGTGTTCTCCTGGGGGTGTGCCAAACTGTTCTCTGCTGAAACCCAAGCAAGTAATCAATCAAAAAACAGTCAAGAGGTTTCTGCCCAGCCTAAATTAAAGTGTAATAAAATGTTTAAGAAATTTTTTTAGGTATCTACAAATTCTTTCACTATCTAGGCAACAGTTTCATTAATTCTGAAGCGTACCTGACTATTGCAAACTGCAGAAAAGTTAAGTCAAAAGCAACCTGGGAAACAATGACTGTGGAAAAACCTACAGCACAGAGAAGAATGAAGTAAGAGCACTGTCTGACCTAACACTGTCGAGGATCGCCGCTGGAGCTGCTCAGGAAGCTGTTTTTTGTAAGGTGCAGGTGACCTCACAGACTGTGCTCTTGAAGGGAGCTGAGGGCTGGTCCAACTTCCACTTAGAGACTGCTGCTCACCCTGGCCGCCTTCGGCTCTCTCTGTAGCAAAAGAAAGCTTGGCGTTATTTTGAAAAACGAGAGAGTTCAGCAGAGAGAAGGAAATAGCTGGTCTTTCGGGAAGGAATGTATATATGTATTACATGCATAATTAAAAAGTAGGATTTTTTTTAAAAATCCAAAGAAGTGGCCAAATTACAGGCCAATATTCACATCCCAGATATATGTGATCTTCAGTTTGTTTCATTTTTCATTAGAAATATCTTGAACATATTAAGAAAACAGAATGCAAGCTTCACACAAAGGCATAGATTTCTGAAAGGGTCTGTTTTGTTTATGGGATAAATCAGATCCCTTGTGCTACTAAAACAGTACCCAGTGGATAGTAGGTGATCAATAAACATTTGCTAAATAAAAAGATTATCTTATGATGACTAAATATAATGTGGTCTCCTGACAGGACATTAGGTAAAAACTAAAGACATATGAGTAAAATACATACTTTAATTAATAATATATCAATAGTTGTTCATTTATTAATTTTAATAATGTATCATACTAACGTAAGATGTTAATAAAAGAAACTGGATGTGGGGTATGTGAGAACTCTCTGTACTATTTTCTCAATTTTTCTGTAAATCTAAAACTATTCTAAACAATAGCTTATTTTTCTAAACTGTCTAGAACAGCAGTTCTCAACCTTCCTAATGCTGTGACCCTTTAATACAGTTCCTCAGGTTGTGGTGACCCCCAATTTTATTGTTACAAATTGAACATAATTAAAGCATTGTGATTAATCACAAAAACAATCTGTAATTATATATGTGTTTTCCGATGGTCTTAGGCGACCCCTGTGAAAGGGTCGTTCGACCCCCAAAGGGGTCGCAACC